ATGTCATCAATGTTATCAAGGATCTTTCTCTCGGTGGTTCCTAAAAGAAAACATAGATTTGCTTGAATACAAAATTCTTAGATCACCATAATTATACTGTAAATTTAGAGATAATCACTTGGATAAATTAAAAATTACCAGACTCTCGAACATAGTTTTTCCCGCCTCAGGACTTTGGTCAASATGGCTTCCCGCCATTTTTCCATGAAGAGAGATCGCGTTAATCATTTCTTTCAGAAGCAAGAATTCAGAAGACTTGAAGAACGTAGATTCACCAGGCTTTTTCCGTCTCATGTCTCTCCCAAGAATTCCAAACAAAGTAGCAACAACCACCGAGTCTTTCTTTCTGGCAGAGCCAAACCATTCTAGAGGAACTCGTCTTCTCTCGCTGCATGTTAGTTCGCTTATACGGACTTCGACTATGTCCTCGGATAATAGCTCATACCAGTCGCTAATCATAAATTCTCTTATCCTGTAGCACCAGTCGCTTGATAAGGCATACCATTTCTTCAAGGGATTGAGAGAACGTCCGAAAACCTGGTTCAATTGCAGTGGACCTGGCGGTGATCGTTCTGCCGCCATGTCCACTGCTTAGAATTATTTGACTTTCGCGCGAAATCCATTTGTTTATATACGTATATTCCATTAACCATTAACTTTTTCGTTTTCATTGTGTTTCTTATTTTCCTAAAACTTGTCGATGACATACAAAATACAGCACTGTACGAAAGTATTGACATCAACAACTGAAGACTTAATTGCATTATATACCATAGTATTGTTAACCGCTGATTGATGAGCCTGCTCCCGCTGTGCATTTCAAAGTTGAGTAAAGCTCGTCGTGTCAAGATTGACACGGGCGCTGATGYGACAGTAGTACCGTTGTCCACCCAAAGGAAAATTCCAGGGAGACTGAGACAGAGCGTCGTAACGTTGAAAGGTCCAGGAGAGCTGCCCCTCAAGGTGTGTGGCACCCTTGCCGCAACACTAGAAGTAGGAGACAAGAAAGTAAAACAAGACGTTCACATAGTGAGYGATCTTAAGCAACCCCTCTTAGGACGACCTGCAATCGAAGCTTTGGGTCTAGTCAAGTTAGTACAGCCAGTAAAAGCAACAGCTATGCCACGTGGCTACAGCCAAGAGGTGTACCAGAAACACCCAAATTTGTTCAAAGGTCTGGGGAAGATTGAGAGCAAATACCATATTGAGCTAGTAGATAATGCCACACCATATGCGGTTACCACACCAAGAAGAGTAGCTATACCATTACTGCCAAAAGTGAAAGAAAAGCTAGAACAGCTCGAGAAACAAGGAGTTATATCTAAGGTGGAGAAACCTACAGATTGGTGCGCCCCTATGGTAGTTGTGCCTAAACAGAACGGAGATGTAAGAATCTGTGTAGACTTGACAAAGTTAAACGAGAGCGTCAAACGCGAACGCCACATGCTACCATCAGTGGATCACGTGCTTGCACAGTTAAGTGGAGCAAAAGTGTTTTCAAAGCTCGATGCCAATTCTGGATTCTATCAGATTG